GCTAACAAGTTCATAGCGGAGCTCAAGGCTGCTGGCGGAGAATGGAGTTATAAGAAGCCCGTGAAATGGCACAGGTTATGCTGGTTATTGTGGCTCCGGCTCGAGCTGGCACTGCCCCCTGATGGGGTAATTGAGATATTAATAATTAGATGGCATGCTGTTGTGATCATTGTAGTTAGATGGGACCAATGAGATGATATGGGATTTTGATTAGATGGGACCACGTAGGATGAAGAAGCAATGCACCGGAATAAGGTAAACGTGCACGATACTGAAACTCTCATTCATAGCACTGAGTGCACATCCAAGCTGAGGAGACCTCTTACTGAATCGTGCAAGGGGCATTACGCCAAATCGCAATAAAGCCCAAGACCTTAATACCCGCACATTCACGTAGACCATGGCTGCAGGCTGCAAGACGCTGGTCTAGAGATCCCCAGGGGTGGTCCAGGACCGTGGTCACGGCCGACCAGACCACCCGAGCGCACGAGGAGCCCGCGCAGCCGGAGGAGCGCCCAGGACGCGCGTGCCAGCCGCACGGCCGGCGGCGAGGGCGGCCGCGCAGAGCGAGAGGCTCGAGACGCGCGCCTCCCGCTCTGCACCACAGGACTCCCGGCCCAGACGAAGGGGAATTCGCGCGCGAGGGTTTGCGTCGGGTGTCGGCCGGTCAGGCTGAAGTGCGGCGGCGGTTTCGTTGAGTTGTCGGACACCGGTAGATCGCGCTGCGCGGCACATGCGTCATGCACCAGTTGGAAGGTGTTTCTAGGTCACACGCCGGTTATGGCGTGTGGCCAGGTTTGGAAGTTGATTTGCCATGTCACTTGGCCGATGACGAATGGTCGACGTCGCAGGAACGTGTACAGAACCTTGGGTGTGGTAATGCAGTCTCATTTGGTAACGCTCCGGGTGTTCGCTTCGTTCCGACAAAGTGTGAGTTTCGGTATAGTTTGTGGCGGGTGGAAAGCCACCTTCAAGTACAGTTCGTTGGTATCTCATTGATTAGGTGTACCCCATTTTAATGCAGTTGGTTTGTTTTTCATTACCTTCTCTTCAACTATATGACATTCTACCACCTGCTTTGTATATATGTCCCCTCCACCTCCTTCTCCCGTACGTGAGGGAACCTAATCTCTTTCGTTGGACTGATCCCACAGACCTTGCGTATCCTAGCGGCCTGCCTCATCTCCGACGTATTTTCTTCGCTCCCACTTATCCGCATCAATCCCTTTTAATCAGAAAACGCCGCACCTAACTCTAGTTACGGATACAAAATGTCTCCGACATCGGGGCACCCTAAACTCCAATCGTCATCACCGGCGAGGCGGCGGTCCTCCGCGCGCTGCGGCCCGCGCCGCGGCTCGCGGTGCCCGGCGGCGACCGGAGGCGGCGGCCTGCCGCCAGCGCCGGCCGCCGACCACAGCCGGCAGCCCGTCTCGCCAGCCTCTCGCAGGCTGCCGGACGGCGCCGGCGGCCGCAAGGTCCCGGCGTGCTCGGCGGCAGTGTGCGGCGGCACGCCGGCCGGCCGCCCCGCGTGACCGCCGGCCGCAGCCGCGGCGGGCGGCGGCCGCCTGCTTCCGGCGCCAGTCGCGCGAGGCGCATGGCTCCGGCGCCCCGGCGCCTTGAAGGGCGTCGGCTCGTTTGCGGACGGCGGCGTTTGTCGCGCCGCCTGACCTGGCTGTGGTGCAGTCTGGTGGTACAGTCTGACAGTGAAGTCTGCTGGTGCCGTGTGGCGGTTTGGTCTGGGGGTAGTCTACCGATGCAGTCAGCCAATGCAGTCCGCTGGTTGAGTCTGGCGGTGTAGTCTGGCGGTGCAGTCTGGCGGTACAGTCTGCCGGCGCAGTCTGGCGGCAGTCTGCTGGTTTAGTCTGCCGGTTGAGTCTACCGTTGCAGTCTGCCGGTGAAGTCTGCCGGTGCAATCTGCCGGTCCAGTCTCCCGGCGCAGTCTACCGGTTGAGTCTGCCGGCGCAGTGGAGGTTGTGCCTGAGCTGCTGCGCTCCATACGCGGTGTCACGACAATGTCGCACACAACGCGTGCTTGGGAGGCCTGGTGCCGCTGCCTTCAACCGCTGGCTGTTGTCGTGTGGCTGGTGGTGCTCTGGTCTCTGGGGCCTTTTCACCCATGGGTGCCTTGGGTCCTTGGGCGTTGCGGCTCTGTGGAGGTCAAAGAGCGTGGCTTTCTGACCCCGTCTTCCTCTGGCTATCAAACATGACACCACAGGACGGACCTTTGCGCCTCAACAACGGCGCTAGCTGACTTGTTGGCCTGTGAGATGTGGGGCGTTCCTGTATCGGCCTCAATGCATTGGCTCGGCTCCCAACTACTGCTACCTTATCCTCAATGGCATTATTACGGGGAACAAGGCGATTACCTGGACAATACAGCGGGATCTTTGAGTCGTACTCAGAGGAAAGCCCAGCCAGTCCTCCACAAGTTGGGAGGGAGAGATGTACCGCCGTTTCGATCCTGATACGTGCAAGAGCCTGGCTGGCTGAGATGTTTTTCGAAGCGCGCCTCCAATTCCGACTTATTGCGTTGTTTTTTCGCTGTTCGCCAGGTAACACGTTGCTAACCGGTCTGTGACTCATTACGAGGAATGCGTTCGATGCGGCGACTGCCCATCACGACCTTGGTCAAGGGCACGCGTACTCGCACGCGGATGGTGATATCGCCGCCCCTTCGGTCTCGAGACGCTGCAAGCCTTGTTGCTATCCAAAACTATGAAGTCCACATGAATCCTGGAGGTTTGTCACTGGTAGACGTGAATTTGTGATTGCTTTATAGCAGCAGCATGCGCGTGAATATCTTCAAGAAAATCGTTACGTGGATTTGTTTATACTTCATCATTGCGGTTTAGGTGCAGGCCACCTTGGCTTTTCGGAGGCATCTCCTGAGCGGTTATGGGCATCATAACTGCATTTCACTGGCCGAATTTACACCCGTTGACACCTGGGCTGCACGTTCCGAGCTGCTGTTCTGCCAAGTCGCCGACCTTTGACCTCGTTCTCGGAGCGGAGCGTGGCAAAAAGGTGGAAAAGAGTGGCATCGCAACGCATGCTTAGCTGTGTGTGCAGGATGCTCTTGTCCAGTTGGTCTGTTGGTGTAAGGGTGTTATGTCATCAACACCATCAATTCTGGTGGATTTGACATTCGACGTCAAGTATACATCAAGTTCAGTTTGGTCATTTACGTTGAACTTGTCCTTAAATCTGCCGTCAGGGGTTCGAAACTCCTGCGGTGTGTAGGTTGTGGTGCAATGGTCATTTACGGCCAAAATCACGCGAAGTCACATTTCCAAAACCGCCTTAAAGTATTGGGGCACCGAGAGCGTTTTTTTCACGGTGTGCCAGTACCATCGTCTGTCTAGATCGCACGTGCGGGTGTATCCAAGGCCAAGATCGTATGAGGTCATAGAATGACTGCTGTCGTCTACATTACTCGTGGAGCTAAACTATGGCATGCTGTGACCTGTTTCAACGTTACTTTGCGCCAATATGCGAGCCCACTTAAAGGCGGTAAAAGCCCAGTTGACTTTTTTCTTTCAACGTTCCAAGTGAACCGTCCTTTATATATAATGAGAAACGACTTGGCAAGACCTGTAGATCTCTACGAGATTGCCTCCCCGCTTGTTTGTATTCTGATTCCGGCACATCGGGTGTGGAATCACCCCGAAAGGTGGCGCCGCCTGCGTAGTGGAGCGAGGCGAGACCGGCGAGGCTTTGTGAGCCCGCTCCGGAGCCGTTTAGCACATGATTCATGCCGCCGCGGCCCCCGCACCATCCTCGGACAAGAACTGTTCAGGCTTGAAAAGTTCTTGACCTTGGCGAACTCGGCAGGCTGTCGGGTGACAATACGACTGTTTGGTGGTCAGAACTCCCCCCCCCCCCCCTCCCCCCCGCCTCCGCCCTTCCTGCCTCCTTTCCTCCCTCGCAATCAGTCGGGCGCGGTTCCGTCCGGCGGCGAGCCGGACAGCGGGCGCGAGCACGGCACGACGGTGGATGGGTGTCAGAGGCCGCACGCGCGTATCGCGCACGGCCGGACTGGGCTATGCATTGACTTATTCAGATTGTCGCGGACTGATTATGTATTGACTTATTCAGATTATTGCGGACTGATTATGCATTAACTTACTCAGATTTTGGCGGACTGATTATGTGTTGACTTACTCAGATTATCGCGGACGGGGTGCGGCACCAGCAGCAGGCAAACGCACTTCATACAGCATGTCCTTAACCATCGTGCGTAGACGCTGTCGGCTGGCACCGTCCGCAGACCGAGCCGATCGACCGAGCCCGGCCAGCGTGCGGTGCTCGGGTCCTGAGTGCCGCGGAGGGCCCGGCGGCGGCGGCGGCGGCGGCGGCGGCGGCGGCGGCGGCGGCGGCGGCGCGGCCGTGGCGTGCGCCGCCCGTGCCGCCGCGCCGCCTGCGTGACCGTTTAGCGGACAATGGCCAGGTGTCGTGGCGCGTTGTCACGGGACTCGGCGCCGCGTCTCGGGATCGCGCCGGCCGGACGGCGGCGACGGAGCGGGCGAAGCGGGCGGGGGTGCGGAGGCGCGGCGGCGGGGCGGGGGTGGTGGCTTACCGGGCGTCCTCAGTGGGAAGGCAGGAGGACTGGTGTTCTGGCAGCGGTTGCGGGGTTTAGCTGTGGAATGCTGCCGTCGGTGTGGTCACGGCCAGCGTTTTGCGGAGGGCTTTTGTTTACGTCGTCTTTGTGTCAGCGTGAACATCATAATCAGCCGCCCTTGATGGCGGCAAAGATCGAAGGGAAAATGTAACACAATTGACAGATTCTCATAAGATCATCGCGTGGCAATCTTTCAACGGAGAACGACGGTCTAATTGTAAGACCGTTTTAAGCAAACTACCGTCCTGTAATACAACTTAAAAGGCTTGAGAGGCTCAACTTGTCGGGCGTTGTCTGATGTCTGACGCATCCAATGCCGCGCGACGGGGCACCGCCCTGGCGGGAGTCGCTCACCCTCACGCTGCTCGCCTTCCCACAGGCCGGCGGCTGCTGCCACACCTTCATCGACAAGGGCTACGAGTTCGACGTGGGCATCCACTACATCGGCAACCTGAACTCGCAGACGTCGGCCAAGACGCTGATTGACCAGCTGACCCACGGACAGCTGCAGTGGGCGGCGCTAGGTAAGGGAGGGCACCTGCCCACTTCAGCGCCTCCTGCAATGGGCGCCGCTAGGTACGGGAGGGCACCTGCCCACTTCAGCACCTCCGGCAGTGGGCGCCGCCAGGTACGGTAGGGCACCTGCCCACATCAGCGCCTCCTGCAGTGGGCGCCGCTAGGTACGGGAAGGCACCTACCCACCTCAGCGCCTCCTGCAGTGGGCGCCGCTAGGTACGGGAGGGCACCTACCCACCTCAGCGCCTCCTGCAGTGGGCGCCGCTAGGTACGGGAGGGCACCTACCCACCTCAGCGCCTCCTGCAGTGGGCACCGCTAGGTACGGGAGGGCACCTACCCACCTCAGCGCCTCCTGCAGTGGGCGCCGCTAGGTACGGGAGGGCACCTACCCACCTCAGCGCCTCCTGCAGCGGGCGCCGCTGGGTACGGGAGGGCACCTACCCACCTCAGCACCTCCGGCAGTGGGCGCCGCTAGGTACAGGAGGGTACCTACCCACTTCAGCACCTCCGGCATTGGTCTCAGGCGCCGAGAAACGCTATCAGCATGTGTCATCGGAGCGGTGCTGTGACATGCTAGGACCAGTCATTGGTCGTGTTCTGTTTTATTTCGTTCTCGCTGTCGATATGAAAGATGTGCAATAAGTGCGTTTTAACGTGTCCTTGTGCAGGCAGTGTGCCACGGTGGTTGGGTTCTGCATGATCTTGGGGCTTGATTCACGCCGGAGAGTCATTCGTCTTCATCATCATTAATGCTGGTTTTACCGCCGCCAGTCGATGCCCACTCTTGTTCCATGGAGTGCTTTTTTGTACATTTTACGTTTGTTGTGTTTGTCACGCGTTGTTGTGTTGTATATAGCGGTGTGTGGCCAGCCATGTGATGTGCTCGCGGCGTGTAAAGAGAAGCTGTCCCCGTCCTATCGCAGTGTCCTGTCCTAATGCGATACGGCGTGCATGTGAAGCCCTCTGATTGCTTCTTGAGATCGTTCATACCTCCCTTCCACCTCTCCCGCTCGTTCGTCCATTCATCTCGGTCCGTGTCTGCCTTCATGTCATCGGCTTATTTTTCCCGTTCACTCGCACATGTGTCCGTCCGTCCTTGCGTCCGTCTGTCCATGCCTTTGTTATGCTCGTGCCTGTATCGGCCCGGCCGCTGCATCCGCCCGTTCATCCGCGTCACGCGCGCGCGCGCGAGTCCTGATGGCGCCGCGTCCGCCGCCGCCAGACGACGAGTTCGACACGGCCGTGTTCGGCGATAAGCGCTACTCGCTGGTGTCGGGCAGGCGGCGCTGGCTGGAGCACGTCAAGAAGCAGTTCCCCGACGACACGGACGCCGTGGATCGGTGAGGGCCGCGCGCCGCCGCGCCGGGGCGTCCACAGCCGCTGCTGGGGGCCACAGCGCCCCGTGCCGGTCTCCCGTCCTTCGGGACCGGCTGGTCGGGGGGTGGCGGAGATGCGCGCTGTTGCGCGCCCCGACGCTGGGTCTCGGGTGGCGCACAGCCTCGTCCAGCGAAGCCGTGTGTGTCGTCGTTGCGGCACTTATGAAGGCGGCGGAAAGTTGAGACGGCCACGGGATTACCGTTTTCGCGTTGTGAAGGCATCGCGACAAGTCGTTCTTTGTCAGTCAGAAACGCCGCAGGCGCACTGAACTCGGACCTCTGCCGTTCCGTCCAGCATTGCTCAGGTGTGGCGAACCTCCGACGATCTGCCAAAAGAGATCGTGCTTGATGCCCCCCAAAGCTCCTGGGATAGGGGACAGGGCAATGGGGTAGGCTGTCCCAAAGCTCCTGCCTGTCCGTTAAACTCTGTCAGAACCACGCCCGTTCTGAGCTGTCTCGCCCCCTCCCGCCCCCTCCCCCCCCCCCCCCCACACACACACACGTGAGAAGATCCCTGAGCGCCCCTTCCCTTGGATGTTGTTTAAGGTCATTGCTGCGCGAATATTCGACGTATCTAAATTACTTGGCGCCCCTGAAGGCCATCGGAGCCACTGAAAGTTCTGTGCGGAAGGAATTTACAATCGAGCTGAGTGAAGCCCGCACCTCTCAATCCAAAGTCGGCCCACTCAGCCACTGGGCCATCTACTCGCGCAGGCTGTTCGAGGCGGTGGTGAAGTGCAAGAAAGGCGCCATGGGCATGGTGCTGGTGAAGATGCTGCCGGTGTGGCTGAGCCAGCTGCTGCTGCAGACCGGCCTCTTCAACCTCGTCTCCGACGTGTTCAAGTGGAACAAGCGCTCCGTGCAGGAAGTGGTCACGGTACGCCTGCGGCGGATGCCGCAGTAGTGGCGCCGGTGGACGCCGCAGAGGTGGCCCCGGGAGGACGCCTCCGTGTCTTGGCGAACGCTTCGCGAACTGTGTCTCGTCAGGTGAACGTTTTACGCAGGCTCAGAAAGCGTCAATGCGAACACACCCAAATGTTTTTTTCTTCACTGATTGCTAAAAGTTCCGCCGGCTCGTGCAGCGCACATTAGCGCTATCAATGGTCCCATAGCGTTGGAAAATGAGACGGATCCGATGTTTCCCCGAACTCATTGGTTATGCCGTACCCCAACCCGACCCCACTGACTGTTGATGTTGAGGTGCGGATGGTCACCGCCAGGCCGAGACGAACAACAAGGATCTGCAGGCGCTGTTCATGTACTGCTTCGGCGACTACGGCACCAGCCCCGACCAGGCCGGCTTCCCTATGCAGGCCACGCTGCTGGCCCACTTCTGGCACGGTGAGGCGACGGTGGCGCCGCCGGCCAGGCACGAGTTCGCACCGCGCCCGCCAGGGGCGCTGCCGTCGGACGGGTGCCCTTTGCCGCGTGTTGTGGTTTATGTGACTTGCCATATTGATGATCATATTGACGGTTTTTCTTTGTGAGATAGCGTTACAACCTGTGCTGATACCAGGGGGCACTTGGTATTGGAAAGTCAATTTTCGATGTCACAACATGAGCAGCTAAGAAGTTGGTCGATTCAGGCAGTTTCACCTGCTTACATGGCGTTCCGCTGTCTTCTGCGGGTGCGTTCGGCGCCTGGATCACATCGTTCTAGCACATGCCATCCATCGGCGGACCGCGCTGGGGAGCGACGAGCCCTGTGACCCGACGCTCTGACGCTCCGCCGTCGCGCTCTGGCCGCACGACCTGTCGATGACCCGGCCTGACCCTGTTGATGACCCGATGATCATGTTGGATGACTCGGCCTAACCCGATGACCCTGTCGATGACCCAGCCTGTCCCGGTGACCCTGTCGATGGCCCTGTGACCCTGTCGACGGCCCTGTGACCCTGTCGACGACCTGGTTACCATGTAGATGACCCGACCTGACCCGGTGACTCTGTCGATGTCCCGACATGTCCCGGTAACCGACCTGTCTACGGATGACCTGGTCTGACCCGGTGACCCTGTCGTTGACCCATCCTGACTCGGTGCCCCCGCAGGCGGCTCGTACCCGGTGGGCGGCGCCTCGGAGATCGCCTTTCACATGATCCCCGTCATCGAGGAGGCCGGCGGCCGGGTGCTGGTGAGAGCCGAGGTGAGCGTTTGTTTGTGTGAGAAGAGTGCCACGTCGTCGCACGGCGACGGTCAGCAGCCGAGGCGGGCACCACCGCTAGAAGAGTGATGCACGCCCGGTGATTCGGTCAGTTCGGGATGTGGTGGCCGTTGGTCGGCCGTGGGTGGAGAGGACGGCCCGTGCGCTGGCTACCGGCCGTCAGTGGGACTGTCAGCAGGTGGAGGAGGTCTCTCAGTGGGTTAGTGGGTCTCTGATGTCATTTCAGTAAGTCGCTCAGTGGGCCAGCCAGCAGGTCTCTCAGTGGAACAGCCAGCAGGTCTCAGTGGAACAGCCAGCAGGTCTCTCAGTAGGACAACCAGCTAGTCTCTCAGTTGAGCAGCCAGCAGGTCTCCCAGTGGAGCAGCCAGCAGGTCTCTCAGTGAGCCAACCAGTAGGTCTCTCAGTTGAGCAGCCAACAGGCCTCCCAGTGTGGCAGCCAGCAGTTCTCGAGCAGCGATACGTCACTGTCCGCACCGGCCGCCAGGTGAAGGAGCTGCTGATGGACGAGCTCCGCAGCACAGTGGTCGGCGTCAAGGTCGCCAAGGGCAGCTCGACCCACGAGATACGCGTGCCGATGGTCATCTCAAACGCAGGTGGGCTCCGCTGCGAGGGCGACGGCTCAAACGCGAGGGCTCCGCGGGTGGGCTCCGCTGACAATACAGAGTTCGTGCGTTTGTTGTGTGCGAGGGGGGGATGAGCTGGGAGAGTGGGTGGAAGGAGCGGTGGAGGCGGCGTCTGTTGGCGTGTGAGGAGGTGGTTCAGAATGGGATGAGAACAATGAGGCGAATGCTTATCGGTTTGTGAGTGGGCATTTGAGAATGGGGTCGAAAGGATGGTGAAGGAGAATGTTGATTGAATTGAATTGATTGGTGAGGTGAAGAATTGAATTGATTGGTGAGGTGTAAGTTGAAACAGTAGACGGGCGGCAATAGACCCGCAGCGGAAAGAAAAGTGCGATGAGAACAAAATATGCAAAGGGAGACTAGGGAGCGACGCAACCGTGTGTGTGTGTATGTGGCGCGGGCGGTGGATGGTCACCACGCGGGGGGGGGGGGCGGTCAGACGGGTCCTCAGTGACCGTGACTGTGACTGTGACTGACTATGACTATGACTATGACTGTGACTGTGACTGACTATGAATGTGACTGTGACTATGACTGTGACTGTGACTGTGACTGTGACTGTGGCTATGACTATGACTGTGACTGTGACTATGACTGTGACTATGACTATGACTATGACTATGACTGTGGCTGTGACTGTGACCTGACCGTGACCGTGGCCTGATCGTGACCGTCACCGTGATCGTGACCTGATCGTGACCGTGACCGTGGCCTGATCGTGACCGTGACCGTGACCTGATCGTGACCGTGACCGTGGCCTGATCGTGACCGTGACCGTGACCTGATCGTGACCGTGACCGTGGCCTGATCGTGACCGTGACCGTGACCTGATCGTGACCGTGACCGTGACCTGATCGTGACCGTGACCGTGACCGTGACGGCCCGTGGTGACCCCGCCGGCTGCCGGCAGGGTTGTACAATACGATTGCAACGGCTGTTGCCGCGGCCGGTGGCCGAGACGTCGCGCCTGTGGCCGCTGACCAAGATGTCGCACGCCACGGCCGGCTTCTCCGTGTTCGTCGGCCTCAACGCGCCGCTGGAGGAGATCCGCGGCAGCGGCGACAGCACCATCTCCCCCCGCAACTGGTGGGTCTTCACCAACAATGACATCACCAAGGTGAGAGCACGGACGGGAGGGGGAGGGGGGGGGGAGTTGAATCTCGAAGCGTTGTGACCCCGGAACGCTAACATGTCCACCTTTGTGTGCCATTTTTTTAAACCACTAAAATAAGCAGCAGCGGCGGATGATGAGGTCCTGGAGCTCCCGCCTGGTGTCCGCTGCCCGTAGCCCCCACCTCGGCCGCCCTGCGCCGCTCCCCACCACGCCTCGCATCCTGTGGCATCGCGCGGCCTGAGGCGCCGCGCCACACACCTCCCCGGGGCCGGGCTGGACAGGGCGGCAAGCCGGAGGACGCGGTGTCGGTCAGACGGCGCCGCCGCTGCCGCCGCCCTCCCCGGACGCGGCGCGCTGTCTGGGTGCTGTCTGGGTGCTGCGTGGGTGCTGTCGGGCGCACGACGACAGCGATGTGAGCGTGCGGGTGCCCTGCTTCAGGTGTGCAACGACTACATGGCGTTGTCGGCTGACGAGGCGTTGGACCGGGACGTGCCGCTCATGTTCATCTCCTTCCCGTCCACCAAGGACCCCGAGTGGGAGAAACGCTACCCGGGTACGTGGCGCGCCCCTTCCGCCGCCGGGAGCGGGGCTCGGCGGCGACTGGTATCGCTTGCGAGGGGTTTGAGCGGAGACCTCGCCATCCCGGTACGCTGCGCGCCTCTATTGTCGTGAATGGGTGGGCATCGACACCCATGGATGACTAGCTTACTGCTCGCCTTCCTAAGCCTTGCTTTTTCACTCGCTTTAAAGCAGTGAATATGTTTGACTCAAGTGATGGGCAGTCCTGTGTCTCCCACCTGTGACGCGGCCTGTGATAACTGTGGGTAACGAAGTTAGGGAGCAATTTGTGTGTCCGGCGTCGTCTCAACGTGACCTTTCTTGTGGAGGTGTTTCGGGTCAGCGTGTTAGCGGGAGCGGACATCATCAGAGCCCAGTCGCGTGGGGCACATGAGCGATGGCCGGACCGGTGTGCTGGTCGCCGTGCTGGCCGCCGTGCTGGCCGCCGTGCTGACTGCCGTGCTGACCGCCGTGCTGGCCGCCGTGCTGACCGCCGTGCTGGCCGCCATGCTGGCCGCCGTGCTGACCGCCGGCCTGGCCCGCCTTCAGGCAAGACCACGATGGCTATTGTGACGCTGGCCAACTACGACTGGTTCAAGCAGTGGGAGAACGAGCGGTGCACCAAACGCGGCGCCGACTACGAGGGCGTCAAGAACACGATCGGTGACAAGCTGGTGGCGCAGGCCACCCGGCTCTTCCCCCAGATCAGGGTGAGAACGCGAGCCCTCTAGCGATAGAGCTGTCGGTATAGTGTCTTCTGTTCCGCCAGATCAGGGTGAGAGAGCCAGCCAGTCTCGTCTAGCGATAGAGCTCTCGGTAGGTGCTACAGTTAGATTGATTGGACGCAGTCCGGTTGGACTGGCTTGGTGTGCATTAACATAGAACATCGCCTCAACTGCGTGGTGACAGTATGCATAATCAAGCATTTGATTCGATTACCTGCACTTTGGATCGTTGCCATCGAAGTTTGCGACGTTTGCGCACACGGACACGCCTCGTCGCCCCTCCACACCCCATCCCCAACCCCCCTAACGCGGCTCGCCCCGGTCGCAGGACCACATCGACTACGTGAGCTTCGGGAGTCCGGTGACGAACAACTTCTACCTGGGGGCGCCGCGGGGCGAGATGTACGGCATGGACCACAACCAGGAGCGCTTCAGCGGCGAGAGTCAGACCCTGCTGCGTCCCGCCACCGACGTGCCAGGTCAGATGGGGCCGGGTCAGGTCAGATGGGGGACGACGTCAGATGGGGGACGACACAGGTCAGATGGGGAACGAGGCAGGTCAGATGGGGAATGAAACGTCAGACGAGGGAAGAGGCAGGTCGCATGGGGGAGGGGTCAGGTCGGATGGGGGTGGGTCAGGTCAAACGGGGACGACACAGGGTAGCTTTAGAAGAGATCAGATTGGATTGGGGACGAAACAGGTCAAATGGGGGAGGGGTCAGGCCAGAGGAGGACGGACGGGTCATATCGGGGACGATGCAGTTCAGATGGGGGATGGGACAGGTCAGATAGGCGACGGGTCAGATTAGATGGGACCGGTCAGGTTAGGGGAGACGGGCCGGCTCCAACGAAGGCGGGCCGGGACAGTCAGATGGTGCGGAGCAGGTCAGGCCAGGCAAGGGGTGGGGTAGCCAAACGTCTCAATTTGCGCGGCAATCCCGCTGCACTGTGTAATTCTGAGGATTTCACCCACGACACAAGTGCCTGCTGTACCCATTTTCATTTCATTTCCTAACTGATGAGCTAAAACCCTGGGGAAGACGGGCAAGGTCAGCCCAATGCGCAAGAACACACGACATGTGCGGGAGCGGAGACATGTGGCTGACAATGACGACAGCGGGACACGGCTCAGTCCCCGTTCCAACCGGATGACGTCACCCGCCGCCTGTCCGCGTTCCTCGGCAACAGCGACCACATCGATGGCGTTCTGAATGCAACCCCAGTGTCGTTCAGCTACTTGAAACAGACCAAAGTCGCTACCAGCAGTGTGGTTCATGAAGGCGTCTGTTGGGTAGGTGAATGCGCGAGGTTCAAGGTGCGTTTGAACCTCGCCCTGTTGGCATACAGTTGATATTTGATAGAGCACGTATCTGCACTGAAACAGTCAAACGAAATAGCCTATGAAATGTGTTCGACGGATCATGGTGTTAAGCAACAGATTTGCAACGTTTACAATCGGCGTGTTGGAGCTTCTTGAGAGCAGAGACGAACTTGCAACCAACGCGCTCTAGGCTTCGTAAAATACGCCTGATATGTGATGTTGAATCCGAGATTTTCGGGCACCATGGTGGCTTTGTGGGGTGAGTGCCACCAGGCAACAAAAAACGTTATGGCGGGAGGGGTCTGATTGTAGTGGCGTTGACCGAAAACACTATCTGACGGCGTAATTTTTGCGCGCATGTGGCAAGCTGGATGTCACAAGTTGTGTCCTCTTCCGGAACGTCCAATCGGCGCAAGCACGACTATAAATATTGTGTGGGCAGTAGGTGTGGTGGCTGAACGCTGGTTGCTGCGGACTACCGTCTCGAATGAGAAGTGTGCTGGTCTGGTGTGCTGGTCTGGTGCTGGTGTGCTGGTCCCATGGGTCATGATCGCTGCCTTCGCGATGACGCTATCTCCGAAATGAATTGCTCAAGGGAGTCGCGAACAGAAAATTCCTCTGGTCCTCGCCGGTGTTCCTCCGGTACAAGCGCGCGCACGCTTATTCAGCACTGCTTCCTCGTTGCGATGACGCTACTTACCTTTTCCATGGAGATATTTACGCACGACGCTGCGCCACGAACGACACGTGATCCCTTCAGGATGTTTGCCCAGCGCCGTCCGAAGGAAGATCTCGCGCGGCCTAGACTGAGGTAGAAGGATACCGCATTCTGCATGTTTACGTGGTGACCGTGGCACCTACCTAGGGGAGAGCGGGCCAAATAAGCCACCGAAACTTCCCGTCCGGTCCAGAGAACAGAGCGTAAAGGTGCCGTGAATAAAACCCCGATTGAAACAGAGGCGACAGCCAAGTTCGAAACGGGCATGAATGCCAAGACGCCGAAAAACCGTGCGTCTGTCAGTAATTCAGAAGTGCAGAAGCCAGCACAGGAAGGAGCGGCGCCGGGGTGCTCGCGCGCTAGCTTGTAACTGGCCAAGCAGGGAAAAAGCGCGCGAAAGAGATCGGTGACGCATGCATACAAGTCAGTCGATTCATGCTGGGAGTTATGTGCTGTCAGTAGGATGTACGGATGCGATTAGGTCGAGCTGGCGTAGGATGCAGCAGACGGCCGGGCAGAACAGTCACAACTGTGCAGCGCGCCTCGTCGGCTGTTCGGCCCCGGCGATGTGTTGCAGTGGCTTTGATAAGAGGGCAGGCTGCATGCCTCACGGGGTCAGGTGAATAAGCGGACGTTACAGCGCAGGTTTTGTGAATTACAAACCGGCCGAAGTGGTTTATTTTGCAATAAACACGTGATTTGCAGGCCCCGGGTGAAAAATACTAGGTGACACCAACCTAGAAGCTGGACCAGCGAGGAACTCTGCCCTATAAACGTATGGACGCGTAGCCCAGCACCAGACGACAACCTCCACTCCGTGTTCATCGGTTATGCTTACTCGTCAGCCATCCATTTGTGTTAGCTGAGTCCTTGGGAAGGCAGAAGCCTCGCGCTAACAGCGGCTGTGATTTGATCGAGATGACCCGAGGTGATCGGCTATTGACGAACGTAGATGCAGTCCTCCAAACCGTACAGTCGAGACGGAGCGAGCAAACGACGAGGACACGCTCTTATCGGGGCGGCGACAAGCCGGCGAAATGCTGACTCGCCCTGCTTGTCACTAGGTGGACCACATGCATTATCAATATGAACATTTTGACGGTAGTGTTAAGGAGATAGTAATAAAATTCACACAACAAAGAGTTTGGCAAGGTAGGTGATACCAACCTGTGGATATACGTTTTAACGGAAGAGGAATGCTCCTATTAAGTGTGAACTCTCGCCATGGCAAACTCTTATCATTTCTAGCTAAGATCGAATCAGTTCCAGTTTTGTCCACTGCTTCAACAAACCAGCTATCAGTGACAATTATTGCTTCATGCACTAAAACGAATTGTGTTCTGCAGATTATATGCGTTTCATTCGTAAACACGTAGAATCTAGTGGCCAATGTCCGAACACGCTTCTTTGCATTTCGGCTGTTTGGACTTTGCCCGCTCTTTCTGTGCGGAAGCGTAAGGCCCAGATCACGTGCTCGATCAAAAAAGATTCTTGTCTTCAGAGCGGATGCGTTATTGATAACGATCGACACGAATTTAAATGAACTATACAGTTTATCATAAAAAGTGCACTAATAACGGATTGACTTGTTGCGCATATTTGTGTCAGATTATCTTTTCGCCGCGCATATCGCCGATCAGGGACGGCCGAAGCACCTGATGTTCACCGCTCGGACGTCCTGAGTTTGATCGATAGCGGACTTCGACGCGCTCAGCTACGAGTGCGCCCCGCCGTTTCCCGCCACTAGTGTTTGCCGTGAAACCGACGATCGGGCCCGAATGTCGGCGCAGCAGGCGCAGAAGTACGCCGCCGGGGGCAAGGAGCCGCCGCTGGACCGCTTCGCGGACGCGCCTCCGCAGTGGAAAAAGCTGGAGGAGATCCTGGCCATGCGCAGCTCTGCCGGCGAGCCGATGCCGTCGGGGTTGCCGCACCGGCCGCAGCCGGTGGCCGCGCACTACAGCAGCGTGCCGGCCCGTCAGCCGACGCCCGTCGGCCGGGGCGGCGGCGCCGGCGTCTACACGGCCAAGCCGTTCCAGCAGGCGGCGCCGGCTTCGCCGGCGGACGGCGCCGGCTTCAGCGTGGTGGGCAGCGGCGTGCCGCGGGCGACCGGCCCGCGCCTGCCGGTGGCGCCGCCCCAGCCGTACTGCTTTGCTTCGCCGCCGCGGTGGACGTCTGGTGGTCACGGGCCGGGCGCTCGGCACGCGACTCCGCCCCAGCCGCCGCCTCAGCCGCCGCCTCAGCTGCCGCCTCAGCCGCCGCCACAGCTGCCTCAGCTGCCCCAGCTGCCCCAGTCACAGCCGCAGAGGCGCGGCCAGCGCTCCTCCAGCACGCACCTGATCGAGAGCATTTCTCAGCTAGTGCACCAGACGCACGACCGGCAGGGGGAGGGCGGCGTCCCCGGTGGCGGCGGCGGCGGCGGCGGTCGTGGGAACGGTCCCCCGGGCTGGCACGGCGGGGAGGCGGAGCGGCACACCTCGGGCAGGGCGTCCACCCGCAGCGGAGGCCAGAGCGGCGGGGCGGCCTGCTGGCGGCGCGATGAGGCGCGGCGACAGAGCTCGGACAGCGCTCGCGTCGGCGGCCGGGACGTCGCGGCCGGCTGGCCGGATTGCCCGGATGGGCGGCCGGCCGCCGCGCCGGAGAAGCCGGCCAGGAACCTGACCTCCGCCGACCAGGACGACTTGCGCCGGCTGCACGAGCTCATGGAGATCACGCGAGCAGAGGGCGAGATCTGCCAGATGGAGATGGTGATGCAGAGCCAGGAGGCCGAGGCCACCGAGCAGCGGCGGCTGGCGCGCGAGCGCGCGCTCTGCCGCGAGGACGACTCGGGCGGCGCCGAGACGCCCGGCCGGCGCGGCGGCGGCGGCGGCGGCGGCGGCAGCGGCACCGAGGCCGAGCTGGCGTCGGCGGCCGACGAGCCGGCCGCCGTGCTTGACCGGCTGCGCCGCAACAAATACTGGGCGACGGGCATGGTGGCCGGCGGGCCGTCCGACCGCGAGCTGGTCGGCTTGCTGCTGGCGCGGCTCACGCAGCTTGAGGGCCAGCTGGCGCGCGCGCGCGACGCGCTGGCCGAGCGCGACCGGCTGGTTGACGAGCTGCGCGCCGCGGGCGCCGCGAGCGGCTCGCCGGCCGCGGCGCCGGCGGCCGGCGCGCGGAAGGCGGCCGCCGCCGGCTGCGGACCGGACGACCTTCGCCGCGAGTGCCGCCGCCTGCAGAAACACGTGCGCGACATGGAGAAGTTCCTGGCCGACTACGGGCTGGAGTGGGTCGGCTCGGGCGCCAGCAGCGACGACCTGACGACGGCGCGCTCGCACACCGACGCCGACGTCGGCGACGGCGACAAGCCGGACCGCTCGCCGCCGGCGGCGTCGCCGCGGGATGCGTTCACCGTCAACTTTGACCTGCTAGTGGCGCGCGTGGCTGAGCTGAACGTGCTGGCCGGCGCCGACCAGCAGCAGCTGTGCCGCACGCCGCGCGGCGCGCGCTTCATGCTGGTGCCGCCGCTGCCGCTGGCCGTGTACCGCAACGGCATCGTGCTGGAGGCGGGCCCGTTCCGGCCGTACTCGGACCCGCTGGCGCAGCTGCTGGTGATGGACCTGCAGGACGGGTACTTCCCGACCGAGCTGAAGGAGCGCTTCCCCGACGGCGTGCCGCTGCGGCTCACGGACCGGCGCCACGAGGAGTACCGGCCGCCGGAGCCGGCGCGTGTCTTCTCGGGGCCCGGCTACCGGCTGGGCGGCCGCCGGCGCTCCTCGCGCTTGATTGCTGAACACTACTGCCGCCGGCAGCGCGAGCAGCAGCTGCAGCAGCAGCGGCGTCGGCGCGTCGGCTCGCCGGAGCCGCTGCCGCCGCCACCGCCGGCGGCGGCGGCCAAGGCCTGCAAGGCAGCGGCTGGGGCGGCGGCGGTGGCGGCGGCGAGGCGCACGCCCGGCAGCTCCGGCTACCTGTCGGCCGGCAGCGGCTGCGACCGCGGCACGTCGCCGCCGCCACCGCGCCGGCCGGCCTCGCCGAAGGCGCGTCCCGGCGCGCCGCTGCCGGCGCCGATGCTGGCGCCGCTGCCGTCGCCGCTGCCGGCGCCCTCGCAGGCCGTGTCGCGTTTCCTAGCGCGCCTGCCCAAGACGGTGGTGCGCGACGGCAGGCTGATTGAAATCCGCCGCTCTGTCGAGGAGTTGCTAACTGGCCGCGCGTCCTCGCCGCCGCCGCCGCCACCGCAACCGCCGCAGGCGACGGCCGTCGGGGAGTCGGCCCCGGCGTCACCTGCGGCTCAGCCCCCTCCCGCTCTCCCTCCGCCGCCGCCGCCGCCTCCGCCTCCGCCGCCGCCTCCGCCGCCGCCGCGGCCGACCACGGTGCGCGTGCGGACGCCGCAGGACGCGTGCCTGACGCTGGAGCTGGACGCGTCGAGCACGGTGGCGGAGCTGCGCCGCCGGATCGAGGCCAGTGGCCGGGCGCCGCAGGAGCCGTACGGCCTGATGACCGCCTATCCGCGCCGCATGCTCTGGGACACGGCCTGCACGCTGCACGAGTGCGGCCTCTCACCCAACGGCGTGGTGGTGATGACGCGGCAAAGCAGCATGTGAGCGGCGGCGGCGGCGGCGGTGGCGAGGAGGCCGCGCGGCCGGGACGGTAACCGCGGCCGGCGGCGGCAGGAGCCGGGTGCGGCTCCGCCCGTCAGACGGCAGACGCCTACTGGTCTTGTGGCGGAGCCCGGACGGTCGGCAGTGGTACAGTCCCGTGGGGGGGGGGGGATAAGCGGGGCGTTGGCAACCACCGAGGCCATGCGACCCAAAATGAGCAGAAGTCTTCCTGACAAGAGCACGCGCCCGCCGGATGTGAGACGGCAGCCCCGTGGCTGTCCGCCCAGTAGCGCGAGGCGAGCATCGATTGATATTTCAGGCCTACAAATAAGAACACCCGAGAAAAACTGGGAAAGATTCGTCTCCCGTGGAGTGTCTGTGAAGACATCGTGCGGGGTTGAGGCCGGAGCTGGCGAGGATGGGAGTGCTGATATCCAGCTCGCGAACACGGCCCGATCGTCGGTTAGTCAGCTGCGCTGTCGTCACGTGGCCGTCGACGGACTATAGCTACCAGTGATGCACAGATACACTCTCCTTCGGCGGTGCAAATACGCTCTGCCAGTGAGAGGACCTTTGTCGGTGTGAGGTTTTAAGTTTTCGTTTATCGTTCGTCGTTGCGGGCTTGTCTTTACCCGTGTTGTTAAATACAGACCTGCACTCATAAGCTGTGTATCATTTCGTGATATTTGGTATTGCTGTGCTTCATTGTTTCATTGTATTTGACTTCTTAGTGTTGCATAGCTTAGAATGCAGACATACCCTTCCCGTTGGATGCCTGCGGCGACGGCCGTTGTGTGCCCGAAAACCACTCGGAACAAACCGCTGTGAACTGGCTTTCGCTGGTGCTACGTTAATTTGGTGTTGAAACTTAAGTAGGGTTTAATTCTAGGTTTTTAGGGAACTAGGTTTTAAAAACGTCGTCAAACGTTTGCTATGCTTTCCTCCGCTCGAGACAACATGTGTTCGGAATAGGGTCCTCCCGGTTTCAAAAACGTTTCAAACGTTCGCTGTGCTCTCCTCCTCTCGAGACAACACATGCTCGGAAATGATGCCCGACATTCAGCTGTGTCCTGGCACGAAGTGTCTACTCAGTAAACGTGTCTGAACGACTGTATTACGATGCCGTGAACTATGACTCAGCCATGAACCCTGCACGTTACGGACGCTGTGTACCATGAACCATCGGGGCCGTTAGTGTCCAGGCGCCAGGTAATGACGCCGTGGCATGCGGCCGCGGCCGCGGTGTTCCGTTGCAAGGTGACCTCGAGCGGTCTGACGTCATACATGAGCGTCCATGAGGAACTTGTTTGTTGGGTTTTCAGAGGCTTCGTTCGGTCACTGTCCCCTTCTGCTAGGCTGAATGGAGATGAGAAAGTATAAGCACGGTCCACTCCCCCACAGTCTGGATAGCGCCCGCCGTATATGTGCCACGTGCAGTTCTCTTCCGGATGTGACCCGACCTTTCTGGCCGGACACTGCCAGTCTGTACCGAGTCTGACCTTCATGACCAAAGCTGCAGATGTGCTTTACCTAATCCGCCGCATTGAGAATCCTTCCTTAACCTTAAAATTTCAAAACTTTCTTCCTTGACCTGACGTGCCACACCTGCCCACACCCTCCGTCTGCACCTGCCCCGGCCTGCCCACACCCTCCATCTGCACCTGCCCCGGCCTGCCCACACCCTCCATCTGCACCTGCCCCGGCCTGCCCACAACCCTCCATCTGCACCCGCCCCGGCCTGCCCACACCTTCCGTCTGCACCCGCCCCGGCCTGCGCACACCTGCCGTCTGCACCTGCCCCGGCCTGCCCACACCCTCCATCTGCACCTGCCCCGGCCTGCCCACACCCTCCATCTGCACCTGCCCCGGCCTGCCCACACCCTCCATCTGCACCTGCCCCGGCCTGCCCACACCCTCCATCTGCACCTGCCCCGGCCTGCCCACACCCTCCATCTGCACCTGCCCCGGCCTGCCCACACCCTCCATCTGCACCTGCCCCGGCCTGCCCACACCCTCCATCTGCACCTGCCCCGGCCTGCCCACACCCTCCATCTGCACCTGCCCCGGCCTGCCCACACCCTCCGTCTGCACCCGCCCCGGCCTGCCCACACCTTCCGTCTGCACCCGCCCCGGCCTGCGCACACCTGCCGTCTGCACCTGCCCCGGCCTGCCCACACCCTCCATCTGCACCTGCCCCGGCCTGCCCACACCCTCCATCTGCACCTGCCCCGGCCTGCCCACACCCTCCGTCTGCACCTGCCCCGGCCTGCCCACACCCTCCATCTGCACCTGCCCCGGCCTGCCCACACCCTCCGTCTGCACCCGCCCCGGCCTGCCCACACCTTCCGTCTGCACCCGCCCCGGCCTGCGCACACCTGCCGTCTGCACCTGCCCCGGCCTGCCCACACCCTCCGTCTGCACCTGCCCCGGCCTGCCCACACCTTCCGTCTGCACCCGCCCCGGCCTGCCCACACCTTCCGTCTGCACCCGCCCCGGCCTGCGCACACCTTCCGCCTGCACCTGCCCCGGCCTGCCCACACCTTCCGTCTGCACCTGCCCCAGCCTGCCCGTACCCGTCTGCACCTGCCCCGGCCTGCCCACACCTTCCGTCTGCACTTGCCCCGGCCTGCCCGCACCCTCCGTCTGCACCTGCCCCGGCCTGCCCACACCCGTGTGCACCTGCCCTGGTCTGTCCCGGTGTGAGTCTGCTGACATGACGCGGCTCCCTGCCCGACAGGTCTGTACCTGACCGGCCAGGACATCCTCAGCTGCGGCTTCTCGGGCGGCCTGTACGGCGGCGTGCTGGCCGCCAGCGTCGTGCTGGGCCGCAACTGCTTCTCCGACGTCGAGACACTGCACAAGCAGCTCAAGAAGGCGGCGTAGGCGGCGACGGCGGCCGGCCCCGCGGCTCCCTCCCGGAGCAGTCCTGGCGGCGGCGGTGGAAGGCGTCACGAGTCCTGGCGGCTGGCGGAGGACCGGTCCCGTCAGTCCTGCCGGTTGGCGGGGACCGGTCCCGTCAGTCTTGTCGGCTGGCCGGGGACCGGTCCCGTCACTCCTGCCGGCTGGCGGGGACCGGTCCCGTCAGTTCTGCCGGCTGGCGGGGACTGGTCCCGTCAGTCTTGCCGGCTGGCGGGGACCGGTCCCGTCACCCCTGCCGGCTGGCGGGGACCGGTCCCGTCAGCTCTGCCGGCTGGCGGGGACCGGTCCCGTCAGTTCAGCCGGCTGGCGAGGACCGGTCCCGTCAGTTCAGCCGGCTGGCGGGGACCGGTCCCGTCAGTTCAGCCGGCTGGCGAGGACCGGTCCCGTCAGTTCAGCCGGCTGGCGAGGACCGGTCCCGTCAGTTCAGCCGGCTGGCGAGGACCGGTCCCGTCAGTTCAGCCGGCTGGCGGGGACCGGTCCCGTCAGTTCAGCCGGCTGGCGGGGACCGGTCCCGTCAGTCCCGGCGGCTGGCGGGGACCGGTCCCGTCAGTTCTGCCGGCTGGCGAGGACCGGTCCCGTCAGTTAAGCCGGCTGGCGGGGACCGGTCCCGTCAGTTCAGCCGGCTGGCGAGGACCGGTCCCGTCAGTTCAGCCGGCTGGCGAGGACCGGTCCCGTCAGTTCAGCCGGCTGGCGAGGACCGGTCCCGTCAGTTCAGCCGGCTGGCGGGGACCGGTCCCGTCACTCCTGCCGGCTGGCGGGGACCGGTCCCGTCACTCCTGCCGGCTGGCGGGGACCGGTCCCGTCAGTTCCGGCTGCTGGCGCCTGACATTTGGGGCATTGAAAGGCGGAAGAGGACGACTCCTGTATCTGAGCGTCAGGAGCCCGCGCTGCGGAAGGTTGGGAAGCGACAGGAACGTCTCAAGCTGTTCATCCAGCCGTGGCGTTTGGGATTGTTCATCGAGATGACCGCATGAGCGGTGTAGGATGGGTGTAGCGTTTTGCGATCCGGTGGTAGCTTGCTGACGTGGAGCGTGATGCGAAGGGGTCCGGATCGCGCAGAGGAATGGGTGTCCCGTGAGATCTGTCACTGCGTCTGGTAGCTACCGTGCTCAAGAATGAAGGTGCGAGTCGGTGTCGCATCAAAGCGCTGAAGGACGCATCAAAGCGCTGGAACTGTTCTATTGTGGCGGGGAGATGATATCCGTTGTCATGTTGTTTTTCTGTGAACTCTGCGTTGAACTCTGCGTATTTGGCACCTCGACTTTGAAATCACTTACACTTTATATACCTCTTACCACCTGTGCCCAGACAAAATATCTAGCTACGGATTTTTCGTTGCGTCAGAGGGGAGTGGTTACAAGTAATGTGGCCTGTGCAAACAAGGACTGCTAGTATTTATGTATTGCTATTGATTGCGGTGAAGGAAGGTGACTAAACGGGGAAGGCTGCAGTGCGTTCGCTGTCTTTGGAGCACTTATATAGCCCATGAGATTTACACTTGGAGGGTTGGTGGTGTGATCTTACGTGCATGAGCAGGTATTAGTCTGTTGAGAAGACCTTGTTAATTCCCTGCCCGGATCGGAGGTAGAGCCCTGCACGCCAACACGTGGTAACTAATTACGCTGGGCTGTACTCGGTTCCGGCACGAGCTCGTGCCATACGTGCGTGTCTCCAGCGGAATCGTCCCGCTTGTTGCACAGCACACCGACTCCTCACCCTTGGCGCCAGTCGACGCTGCTACGATGCTGCCGAAATATACGTATCAGCCGCGGACCTCTCTGTGAGAGCCCTATGACAGGGATTCCTCTTCCTCTCGAAGTCCTCGACTCCGAAGCAGCGCAGAGGAAGTTGGGCCTATGAAATGTCGCTCTCGGGATATTGGGACAAGATCGTCAAGCGGACCAACGTAACCGTGGAGAGACAACATCGAGGTCAACAACATCATGGTTACCATCTTCCTCATCAAGATCGCCACGATCATTACACGCTCACGTAAGGCGAATCCGTGCCCGACATAGCGGACTGAAGCGGGTCCTGTCTGGTCCAGAGCAGACCTCAGCGGGTCCCGTCTAATCCAGAGTAGACCAGAGCGGATCCCGTCTGATCCAGAGCAGACCAGAGCGGGTCTCGTCTGGTCCAGAGCAGAACGGAGCGGGTCCCGTCTGATCCAGAGCAGACCAGAGCGGGTCCCGTCTGATCCAGAGCAGACCGGGGCGGGTCCCGTCTGATCCAGAGCAGACCAGAGCAGGTCCCGTCTGGCCTGATCCCGCTGGCTGGGACGCCATCGCCGGCCCTGTTCCGGTGAGCCGAGCCGCCGGCACGACCGTGAAATCTGACGGCCGCATTGTTCGCCGGAGGATCCGGGAGGCAGCGCCCCCGGCGGCGGAGAGGCCGGCGACAGGACCCCGGCGGCGGGCGGCCGCGGCAGCGCCGGCGAACGCGGCTGCGCGGGTCGTCGCCTCCCGCCGATCGGTAGTGGGGCTCAGTCTGGAGCAGGCGGCCGAGTCTGGGGGCAGCTGACCCGCGCCGTGTCGGGCCGAGCACGCAGGCCTCGTCCGAGCCGCCTGAGTCGACTGCTGACCGTAGTCGGGGACGTCGGTCCGGGCTTTTCGAGAGTCTGGTCTGAGTCGAGAGTCGGCTCGGGCTGCTCGGGAGTCGGGTCTGAGTTGGGAGTCGGTTCCGTTGGCTCCGTCGGAGGGCGCCTGACTCTCGAGGTCGACCAGCGCGGAGTCGGGGAGTCGGCCTCCGGGGCGGGGCCCGTGACCTGGCCGGGGTTCGCCGCTGTTTGTCCGGTTTCGGACGGCCTGAGACGATGGCCGGTCTCCTCTGCCGTCTGCTTCTGCTCCAGCTGCTGCTGGCTCCGACGCTGGCCTTCAACATCACCGGTGAGAGGCGGACCGGTGCCGGGCGACTCTGCCTGCTGTGCTGATGACAGGCAGCGTTCGGCGCTCGTCTTCCTGTACAGAGGAAATGTGATGCTATGCCACATAATAGGCCACACGGGCCTTTTAAGGCCACAAGGCCACAAGGCCAATAAGGCCAAAGGACCCCCTCTACGTGTCAATGTTTGTTACTGGAAGTGCGTAGCTTGTCCAGAACGTTTTAATTGGTTTTGCTGCGAAGTAGTTAAAACGTTGCTGTCAAAAACCACGGCTTTAATGATGTCAGTGGATGCGCGTGCCATGCCCTGGCGTGTGCGTGCTGTTTTGAGGCCGGTTTCCATTGAACAAATAGTGTTTATTACAGTTTGACTCGATTTTGAGCCCCAGTGATGTACGGTTGTCTTTGAAGCGGTTTCTGGTTGACAAACTTTATGGTGATATCTGACGTGTCTCGTCTTACTACAGAGAGCCTACCGCTTGCAAACTTTGCAAGTTAATTAAGCATTTCTAAAGGCTTAGTCACTTGACGTTACTGACATGCTGACGCCTCGCCTTACACAACAAGCTAATGTAGATCATTGGTCGCGTACCTATAAGCATGCTAGAAGCAATGTAGCATGGTGTTACGATGCGTCTCTTCAATCACTTAGGTTCAAGGAGTGCGATCAATATGTCTGTGATTGGCATATGTGCTGGTGGTATCCGTAACTTACATGTCCCATGGTATTACCCGCAAGCCTACCGTGACTTAGCCCGTACGACTCCAGTGGACAGGTTTGAGATGCCTCACTCACTCTCTAATCGAGTCACGAACTTTCACTGAACGCAAGCCTACGGTGACTGAGCCCGTACGACTCCAGTGGACAGGTTTGAGATCCCTCACTCACTCTCTTATCCAGTCACGAACTTCCACTGAACGCAAGCCTGCCGTGACTGAGCCCTTACGACTCCAGTGGACAGGTTTGAGCTCTGTCACTCACTATCTAATCCAGCCACGAACTTCCACTGAACGCAAGCCTGCCGTGACTGAGCCCGTACGACTCCAGTGGACAGGTCTGAGCTCCCTCACTCACTCTCTAATCAAGTCACGAACTTCCACTGAACGCATTCCTCTGCGTTGCGCCGTACCGCATTCACCTCCGTGGGGTCGTCCTTTCCACCGTGGTCGTCCGCTCCGTATCTAAGGTTCGCATTTCACGGCTAATGGCACCTAACCACTGCAACATGGCGTCTTTCCACGTGTACTCGCTCCGCGTTGGACGTGTCACGTGCGTGCACTTTCCGATGGGAGCCAAGGTCACAGCGTCAGAGCACAGGCCAGCTTTCAACATCTCGGAGAGGCTGCAAATGGGCTGGCGATTAACTTGCCAGCATTACCTTTTGAATGTTTCATTTTTCTTTTGTTGGCATCTTAGTTAATTGGCACTCAGTGCTCCGGGCTCCGTTTAAGGTGGTGAGACCAGGGCGGGGTAACACCCTTTAGAGATGCAAAGTTTCCTGTAGGCCCTCTTCCCTTGAGACTGACCCTCGCATCGGAGGACTCCACGGAAGAGTCCAACCGCCCTGATTTTCGAGCCTCTCGCCAGTGGAGACCGTGCTGAAAGCCGACGCGCAGGGACAGATCGCCAGTCAGGAGTACTGGGACAAGTTCCGCGCCTTCATGGAGCTGCTGAGCAAGGCGGACGCTGCCAACCGCACTAAGCTGCTGGTAAGAATGAGCTGGCGCGTGCCGGCCTGCCGACGGTGTCTACCGAGCGTGATCCACGTGGACGTGCCCTGTCCCAGATGCTCGGGACACAAATCCTGACCTGGGGACAATCGTACCTAAAGCGGTTTTCATAATCGGGAATATGCCAAGCGGTGGGGATGTTACTGCCAACAATGGAGACAAAAAGTCAAATTTTGTGAGCATGTTGTTTGGCCCCAATCGCTGCAAGGATGGGGTCAGACAGCGCAGCTCACCCAAGCCCTCCTGGCTGTGCGTTCGATCCGACGTCCGTGCAAGAGCTGTGGCGTCACCACAGTTGTGACGTCACAACAACCGTGACGCCACCACTGCTCGCCTCGCCACGAAGTGCCGTGGACCACGGACGAAAGTTCAGGCCTTTTCAGTTCAGTTCAGTTCAGTTCAGGCCGAGAGTTCGCCTACAAGCGAAGTTTGTGCTCTGTAGTCAGCCACTCGCCGCACGAGCCGTGCCCCGGCGGTGCCGTAGAGGGAGCTGTAGCCGACGCTGTCCCGGTGTCCAGTGTCCCAG